CTCCCTCTTCTAGAAGTCCCTTTAACATCTCTTGTAATACTGGTTTGGGGATGATGGACTCCTTTAGCTTTTTCTTGGCTAGGAAGCTCTTTATCTGTCCTTCAATTCTAAATAATAACTTTGCTGGGTAGAGTAATCTTGGTTGTAGGTCCTTGCTTCTCATCACTTTGAATTTTTCCTGCCAATCCCTTCTGGCCTGCAACGATTCTGTTGAGAAATTAGCTGCCAGTCTTATGGGAGCTCCCTTGTAGGTAACTAACTACTTTTCTCTTGCTGATATTAAGATTCTGTATTTTAACCTTTGGCATTTTAATGATAATGTATCTTGCTGTAGGCCTCTTTGAGTTCAACTTGTTTGGGACAAGTGCTTCCTGAACTTGTATGTCTATTTCCTTCACCAGGTTAAGGAAGTTTTCCATTTTTATTTCTTGCAATATGTTTTCAATTCCTTGCTCTCTATCTTCTCCTTCTGGTACCCCTACGATTTGAATTGGTATGCTTGATGTTGTCTCAGAGGCTCCTTAAACTATCTTCATTTTTTCTGGATTCTTTTTCTTGTTACTGTTCTGATTGGGTGTTTTGTGCTACTTTATCTTCTAAATCACTGATTTAATTGTCCGCTTCAACTAATCTACGGTCGACTCCCCCTAAAATATTCTTCATTTAGGTTATTATATTCTTCATTTCTGAGTTTTTATATGTTGCGTATATCCATTATTTTGTGTCTCCTATCCTTTTGTTGAAATTCTCACTGAGATCATTGAGCATCTTTCTAATCAGTGTTTTTATTTTTATTTTTTTATGCTGACATTGGTTAACTAAATCCAATAAGTTTCAGCTGTACACTTTAACAGTAAGGCATATATATATATTTATACTGTATGTTCACCAACCATAGTTAGATTTCTTTCTGTCACCACATATTTGACCCCCTTTACTCCACCTATCTCCCCACTCCTCTCCCATCCCTTATCCTCTGGTAACCACTAATCTATAGTCCATGTCCATGTGTCTCTGTTTGTTTGTCCTTGTTCATTTGTTGCCAGTGTTTTGAACTCTGCATCTGGTAAATTGCCCATTCAATTTTGTTTAGTTCTTTTTCTGGAGCTTTGTCTCACTCTTAAATTTGGGACATGGTTCTTTGTTTCCTCATTTTGTCTGCCTCCCTGTGTTTGTTTCTGTGTAATAGGTAGAGATGCTATGTCTCCCCATCTTAGAAGAGTGGCCTTATGTCGTAGATGTTCTGTTGGGTCCAGTGTCTCAGTCTTTCCTGGTCACCTGAGCCAACCGCTCCAGGTGTGTCCCTTGTGCGGGCTGTTTGTGCCCTCCTGTTGTAGTTGAATCTTGGTTGCTGTTTACATGTTAGTGGGAGGGGTCAACCCTTAGGTAGATTGATTTTGAGGCCTGGCCATGACTGCAGTGGAGAGCTGTTGTGCTGGGGCTGATACTTTGGAGCAGGGTTCTATTTAGCAAGGCTTTAGTGCCTATGGAGTCTGCCCTTTGGGTGTATCATTTGTGAAGATGGTTGGGTGGTCCTCTTCAGCTGGACTCCAGGTGTGTTGGTTTGGAGGCCTCCTTGGAAGGGGCTCTGGTGCAGGCCAAGGTCAACCACTGCATGTCCCCTGCCCAGAGCAGTTAGTATGTGCTACAAAGTCATCTGCAGATGGTTGCCACTTTTGCTGGGCTTGCTGGTGCCAGGAAAAGGCTGAGCCATGAATCAAGGCCAGCCACCTTTTGTGCCAGGCTTGAGGCTGCTTAGCAAGTGGTATGAGGCGCACTGAGGCCAGATGCTGCTTGTTTTGGTTTTGTGAATTTTTGAGAAGTTTTAGGAATATCTGCAGCATGATTCTAGACAGGCTGTTTGTATGGAAAGGAACTGAAAGTGGCTTGGGTGGGCCTGCAAGTTGCATGGGGTAGGGTTTCAGGGAATCACCAAGGCAGAGCGAATGGTGTTAGCCAAGTTAATGGGGACTCAGATATGGCACCAGCCTACGTGTGCAGGCTGAGTTGGGGCAGGACTCGACAGAGGAACAATGGCTCTGCCAGCACTTCTGTCTGGGAGAGAGCTGCCCCGCTATGTCTCTCCCTAAAGCCAAACTATTCATTTCCTCTCCATATGTCCTTGGCACCTTTCAAGATGTTGCCCCATCATGAGAGCTCAGAGGGAGTGAGTCTGTTAGCAAATATGTCCATGTGCAGGCCTTTTAAGAGGAATGTCTAATACTCCAGCTGCCCTCTGTCTTTCTCAGCCACAATTTCCACCGATTTTCACAGCCAGGAATTGTGAAGACTTCTCTTCCTGGCACTGGAACCCTGCGGTGGGGAACCTGGTGTGGGTCTGGGACTCCTTGCTCCTCAGGGCAGACCTCTACAGCTGAGATATCCCTCCAAATATTTAACTGGCACACATGGGTCTTGGACCAGCCTTTTCTGTGTTTATGCCCCTTCTAACTAGTCTTCACATGGCTTCTTTTGTGAGTCCTTAGTTATAGGACTTCTGTTCAGCTAGCCTTCTGGGATTCTCAATGATGGTTGTTCTGTGGTTTCATTGTAATTTTGATTTGGTCATGAGAGGAGGCAAGGATAACCTTTACCTACTCTTCCATCTTGTTTGGAAACCAGGCCTTGTCCTTTTTGAAAATAAGGATGGACATTAGCAAGAATATTTTGGCTAGAAGATTGGGAAGGTCAACTAACAACTCAACAAATCAGTCATCCTCTACTGTGAAACCAATAACAGCAGCAGTAACAAAAATGACAATAATAGCAGTTACCATATTAAGTATCAGCTCTGATCTGGGCACAGGGCTAAATGCTTATGCAGACTCTGACATTTGATTCTCTGTAGTCCTATAAGAAAGATAATATTATCTCATTTTGCAGATATCACTTTTTTCATCTGTGTGAATTGAGCAAGTGGCCTAGGTATATAGGAATAAACCAAGTAAAGGCATTTTTAAATCTTATTCTGCAATAGATTTAAGTAGTTCAGGGCTTATGCAGCTGAAAGACACACCAGGTTGAGGTGATCTATTCCTTCTAACTCAGGCAATTCTGAGTTTAAAAAGGCAAATCACAAACTGGCCCCAGTAATCAGGAATGTCTGATAGCTTATTCCAATAAGGAAGTGTTTTATGTAGATTTAAGTAGAAGAAGAAACGTTTCCTTCACAGAAATAAAAGGTTTTATTGCTCTTACATGTTTGCTTGAAAAGACTTTTAGTAATTTGTTCATTCAACAAATACTTACTGAATACCAACTACATGGTCTGAACCCAGAATCTCAAACATATGAAATTAAGAAATTGATTTGTTAATATAAACCTCAAACCTAAGGAATTTTTGACATTATCAAACCCTGGTTTAGGGTGGCGCCTATTGATTAAGTAATTTCTCAGTCAATTCCAATAGATATTTAAATATTTATGCAGAGTGAGGAGAACAGTACAGTTTGTAGATTCTAGATCATGGAGTTAAAGAACCTTAAAAATAACATAACTCACATCCTATATTTTGCAAGTCAGAGAATCAGATGGACTTAGATTGTAAACTGTATAACCTTGAGCAGGTTTCTTAATATCCTTGAGCCTCAGATATGTTATCTATAACATGGGGATACTAGCACTTGCCTTATAGAAATATGGTAAGGAGTATATAATTTAAATAAAGTTCTTAGTGCACTGTCTGACTCACATAACATGCTCAATATATGTTTACTGTTATTGTGATCACTATTTTCCAAATGAGGGGACTGAAACACAGAGAGGGGAAGTGACTAGCCCAAGGTCACATAGCTTTTTAATGTTAGGGCAAATATTAGAACTCAAATCTCTATTAGTAGTTAAATATTTCTTATAGTATATCACCCATTTTATTCCTTAGGAACAGGAAAAATAAACTTTCTAGGTCTGTGAGAACTATTTTTAGCTCATCCAGGGAGAATAATGACAAGGAAATAGCTGACATAAGAAAAGAATGCCTGAACGCAAACAAAAACAAAAACAAACAAACAAACAAACAAACAAACAAAAACAGCAAGGAATAAATAGAGAACAAAGGAGAAATAACAATTACCAGAAAGTTTAGATAGAAATGTTGGAACATTACTATGTCTGGTGAATCACAGAACTGATCTTTATCCAAGCTAATTCTTTTAATCACTACAAACACTTTCACAAAAATGGTTAGGTTATTCTTTTTTCTTGGGGATGGAGGTGGGAAGGAGGTTCAGAATGCATGAGTGTCACAGAAAACTACTGTGAATTCAGGTTTATGAGACCATTTCTATTTGCAAAGCAAAGGAACCCTGTAATTAAAGTTAAAATGGAAGCATGAGTACTACCAAGAATTAAGGAATGATACATGTTAAAAGGATAGTTGGCTGGAGTGAAACCTCATAGTAGAAGCTGTTAAGAAATTTAGCAAAAATAAAAAATATGGCTCAACAGTAAAGCCATATTGTTATTGGTTAATGTTGCTACAGTACAGCTAAGTGCAGCACTGAGAGTGATTGCTTTGTTAGATGAAGGTATTCGTAATAATTAGAAATATACAAAAAAAAAAAAAAGCCTGTCTGTCCACATGCTAGAAGAAAAGATTAATTTACAGTTGGCTAAGCAAAAAATAATATATTCTTTCCTAAACTGTACTTCATTTTAATCAGGGGACCAGAGTGGTTGTTGTTGCAACATCCAAGGAATATTTAAAATGTCCCAGGAGTTTCCTAAAAGGAACAAGGCCATTTTGCTCAATTCATTGCTTCCTGGTGCTATGGCACAAACACTGCTTCCAGAAAGTCTGACTGGAGTTCCTAGCCCACCAAAAGGGATACATTGTGATTATTTCAGGTGCAATCACTATAAAAAATGGTTGTTCCATTTTTACTTCATACTTTAATCTTGAGTTTGCTGATTTACCTTTTCTGAAAATAATTACATTTCCAAAAAAATATATTGATAGCACTTTGATTTCTTATTCACTTGATGATTTTCACCTTTACAGGGCATCAGGTACTGTTTATACGGCTCTAGACATTGCAACAGGACAAGAGGTAGGAGCTAACATTCAATCCTGATTTTAATTTTCCTTTATTCATATTGAACTGGTTTCCTCTTTGATGGCATCTATACCTGAAAAAGAAATGGGTAGCACTGGGTTGACAGTGGAGTTTACTTTATTGGTTTCCAAAGTGGATATCTGAAGTGGATAGCTTACTCATAATTAACGACAGAAAAGGGGAATGGGTTTGTTGCATGGAGAAAGAGCTTAGTAAAATAAAGAATTGGTATGCTCCAAAATATGGATGTTTATGTTTAGTCTAATGATCATAATTCATTCTTGCATTTTAATCATCATTCAGGTGGCCATAAAGCAGATGAACCTTCAACAACAGCCCAAAAAGGAATTAATTATTAATGAAATTCTGGTCATGAGGGAAAATAAGAACCCCAATATTGTTAACTATTTAGATAGGTAAGTGTTTTCTCTCATTATGTACTTGTTTTCTTCCTGGTATGTCATTTTCTTGACAAATTATTTTATTTAGGATCTATTCATTTAGCATCCATTCTAACAAATATTTCTCAAATGCTACAAAACAGTAGAATATCAGATCAATTGCTAAGCTTGTACCCATTTATCTTTGTCCATCTATCAAACATTTGAAGACATTTTATAGTCTTGCTTTTAAACATGAGTAGTTTGTGTAATTTCCTTTAAAGGATCATGACTCCATATTGGCAAGAAATAGCCTATTGCATATAGGAGAGAGTGGTAGTGCTTTAAACATTTCGTCCTGTGTTTGTATGGAGCCAGTGCAGTCTCTGGGTGCCTAAGTGAAGAAGGCTGTCTACAATGGCCCTGCTTTAATGGGCACTTTGTGATTAACTGACAGTGAGGCCTAGGGAATTGAGACTTTAATCTCAAAACTTTTTCCTAGACCAGGTAATTAATATCTTTCATCAGTGGTATTAGTAGTGGGTTATAAATAAGCATTTAAAGACAGCACTAACTCCACTTGTGGTTAACATCTGTCTCATTCAATTTCAATAAGTGTTTAGCACCACTGTGTTGTGTACTCTGGGGGGTACAAAGGAAATAAGATTAGATCTATAACCTCAATGAGCTTAAGATCTTGCTTTCTGTGTTTTATGCCAGGTAGACCAGTGGTACAGAAGGAGAGGAAAGGAGGGTGAAAAAAATAGGGTCAAATTTTACAGTCGAAATCAATGTTTCATAAAATGTCACAACTAACTTCTATTAGAACTGAGACCTCAGCACAGTAAATCCATTGCAAACATGAATCTTTTTGATTCAGTGAATGCTTGAAAATATTTTAGTAATCAATTCAATAGGATGAAAAATAATGCCAGGATCTTAATAAATAGTATATAAATCTGATTACCATGGGCCAGTTCAGTCCAAGAAGTCAACATTGTGGCTTGAATTATCCAAAAGGGTTATTCACTGATCCTGTTCATTGAAACTAGCTTTTACAATGAATGTAGTAGTCAGTCACAAGAGGCCTCCTTGCTATTTTCCTTCTTCCGTGGTGCACAGTCGTATCTGATGATCCTTTGATTTCCTTGCATATTCTCTTTTAACATTAAGGAAGTATCTCGTTACCATGTTTTCTTCTTGTTATATAATATGACCAAATGCAGAAACTGACCGCAAATGGCCTTCTTAATTTAGAAGAGTCCCTATTTCCTTAGGCTTTAGTCAAAGTATTTTTCTTCTCTTGTTTTAGCTACTTAGTGGGTGATGAACTATGGGTAGTCATGGAATACTTGGCTGGTGGCTCTTTGACTGATGTGGTCACAGAGACCTGTATGGATGAAGGACAGATAGCAGCTGTCTGCAGAGAGGTAAGAAAATAGAACATTTCTAGCTGATGAGAACACCAAAATTGGCTGTTCTTTATCTGATTATTCAGAATGTTTAGAACACGAAAGTAGTAATACCACTTCTTTCCTACTGAAAAATATTGGAGAGCCTAAATTCAGTTTAAATCCTAACATAATAGGACTCCCTCTTCCCTCCCTTTCCTTGTTTATTTTAGTTGCTTTGCTATGGATCTTTTGAGTTCCATCATACCATCCACAAGGTGCCATATTTAAGACTGCATTCTGCAGTCTTGGCAAATATGGAAAACAGTGATATTGGCGTGGAACTTCTTTCCACTTTGGGGGAATTTTTACATGATAGTTATTTTGTCTTGCATGTGTAATGTGAGCCACGTAAAAATACAGACTACATTATAATCACATCATTTTCTAGAAGGCAATTTAAGCAGGGTCCTCCCTCAGCCCAGAAAGTAGTTATTTTCACAATACAATCTAGATTTCTCTCGTAGCTCTCCAGTGGGTCTAAGTGTCTGCCTCTTTTCCAATAACAGTGTCATATCCCTATTTTCAAGCTATACTAAGGATATTTTATTATATTAATGTTTTTCAATATGAAAAATATACACTCTTTATTAGAATTTTATCTTAGGCATTACCATCTACCACATTCATTGTGGTGAGTTTTTCTGTAGACACAACTAGGAACTCTGACCCGTGGAAACTTGAAAAACAATGGTAAGAAATAAAATAAAACCAAATAATTTCAGCTAGCCTTTTTTTTTAAATTTTAAATTGTTAACTTAAATTTCCTACTCCCTTGCTTTCCTCTCATTCCCTCTTCCCCAAACACACACACACACACACACACACACACACACACACACACACACACTTTACTACCAAATGCATGTATATTCTATTCATGCAATAAATCAAACGTATAATAATCAGGAGGATATTTGACCCCGAGCCTGTTGTTTCCATCTTCTAGTCTTACAGTACAAAGCCGTTTCCAAACAAATACCTATAGCTACTTGATACTGGTTCCCAAACCTGGTTGTCCATCAGAAATAGCTTGGGGTGCAGATTCCTCAGTCCCACTCCAGACCTACTGAATTAAATCATACCATGGACATAGAAGGTTACTATATCTGTATGAGACCTAACTGAATCCATATCTTCCAGATAAGTAGATCAAAGTACAACTATATTAATTGGTTAGTTTTGCAGTATTAATGATAAGTGCTACTTATCACAACATCACTCTTCATGTCCTAGTCTGACTCAGGAGCTTTCATATTATAATGCTAAATTGCATTATTGATATAGATGGTAATGATTTTTAAATTGTGTTAAAAGATTTAGTAATCTATTTTACTTGACAACATAAACTTATACCCTTGCTCAAAATTTATCTAGAAATTAAACTTAATTTTTAAAAAAAGTATTTGTGATATAATTAGAACTTTTTTTTCCTGATTCAATAGTGCCTCCAAGCTTTGGATTTCTTACACTCAAATCAAGTGATCCATAGAGACATAAAGAGTGACAATATTCTCCTTGGGATGGATGGCTCTGTTAAATTGAGTAGGTATTTTTGTTCAGATGGTGTTTGAGAGAGTATCTGGGATTTCTGCTCTTTTACTGCCTATTTTGAGAAGAAAGTGGCTACTGAAAGTGATTGATTTGAAAGTATTTAGAGCCCAGTTTGAAATTTAAAAAAATAATGCTGTGTTCTGATTATGACCAGATTTGGAGAGGTTCAATATTTCAGAATTTCCAGTGTCTTCCATCTGCTGGATGACAAATAACTAATTAGAAAACTGAAAGGTTCTGTGTGTTGGAGGGAACCAGACTGAAGTCTAGTAAAAATATCACATCAGTCAGTTATTTCAGACTCTTAAAATCAAGACCAGCTGTGAGATCAGGCAACAAAAGGATATGAGCTAGGCAGTTGTGGAAGCTCAATGTCTAACAAAGGAAACTAAAGGCATATCTGAAAATGAATTTTTGTAAAAGAAAAATAATTTGAGCTGATTTTAACTGAGTTTTCTTCTCTGCAGCTGATTTTGGGTTCTGTGCTCAGATCACCCCTGAGCAAAGTAAACGAAGCACTATGGTGGGAACTCCCTATTGGATGGCACCTGAAGTGGTGACTCGAAAAGCCTATGGCCCGAAAGTTGATATCTGGTCTCTGGGGATTATGGCAATTGAGATGGTAGAAGGTGAACCCCCCTACCTTAATGAAAATCCACTCAGGGTAAGTCAAAAGAAAACTCAAGTACTTCTTCCTCAGGTAAGGGAAAGGCCAAATGTCATTTCTTCTCTCTACCAAAAGTAGCCAGAAAGGGCTCTTTGCTGAGACAAATGACACAGAAGTTCCAAGTTATAATTTTCAAAATTACTGTGAGTTATTTTCAGTTTCTGTTAAGGTGTCTAACAGTTTTTTCCAATGCTTTGATATCAGTATTTCTAATGGCAGGGGTCCTTAAAATTTTTAGTATAGCTTTCTGCTATTAAAAAATGCTTTTTTTAAAAAAAAGCAAGACGTATGAAGAAAAGAGTATTTTTATCACATACTATGTATGGTTAATCTATCTAGGACACATTTGCTTTATAATTACTTTAACAAAGTAAGTAAATGCATTTCCAGAACAGCTATATTTTTTTAAATTAGATTTTATTTCATTATCAGTTATGATTTATTGAGCAACAACAGCTAGGTGGGTATTGAATGGAATACAGGATAGATACTGTGCCAGCCTGATGAAATTACAAACGTAATTAGATTGTCAAGTTGAAAATAGTTTGTGTTGGGTAGCTCAGTTTGCTATTGTAGAATCAGAGGTTCGATCCTTACATGGTCTGGTTACCTCTGTAAAAAGTAAAGCTCCATTTCATAGCCTAATGCCACCATCTTTATTTAAATATGCTGTTGATCATAAGAGGAAAAGGCAAAGGAATATGAAAGAAATGTTTGCTCAGGACAGAAATCAGCCACTAGCAATTTTCTTGTAGACAGCCTAAGGGTGAGCCAGAAGCTATGTTGTATAAAGGTCTTCACATTACTGAAAACAGGAAATATGCACAGATTCAAATTCTACGCTCAGAAATGCATGCAGGTGAATTTACTAGACCTACAGTGCCAAAGGCATCTTGGAAGTTGTTTGCATCATTACCACTAAGAGTCTAAAATTGAATTTCATGTTTAGTATATAAAAACCATTCTCTTTAGTAAACAATTAAGTGTTTATATGTTAAGCTTATAAAATCCATATTCAAGCCAAATATATGTGGCTTTTATACATGTAAAGAAACATGCAAAGTAATTGTCTAGATTTTTTGCAGTTCAACATTTTGCAATTGGGAGTGGCATTCCCTATGTACAGAGGGAGTAGACAGCCTCTTTGTCCCCTCCTAATTCTTCTCTGGTACTTGTCTCCTGTCCTAGTCCCTGCACTGATTAGAAAACAACAAATAGGACTGAATGCCCTAATGAATCCTATAGACTATTGCTCTGGTCTCATGAAACAATCTGGAAGTGAGATGTGCACATTGATTAGCTGCCTGCAGGGTTGAGTGGAAAAGAAAGGGCATTTTTCCACCATTTGTGGGTCAGCCCTCCATGAATTTAATCAAGCTCACTCATGACCTATGGACCAGCACATAAGGATAATTACATAGACTTGTTGTCCTCATTGTTTAACCACCTTTGCCCATTAAGAAATAACAGCTAAAGAACACATTACGCCTCTTGTTTCCATGGATTTCTTCCTCTAAATCTTTGGAGTTCGAAGGCACTGAATGGATTATGGCTATTTCACTTTCTGCCTCTTAATGAGTAATTTGCAACCTGAAAAATTTAAGAATTAAATAAATGGTTCTGTAAAGCAGTTGGTCTCAGTAATGTGTTTATCACTTTCTTCAGTTCCTCAATTACAATTGATCTCTTTTGCTAGGCTGTTAATCGTTAGAAAAAAGAAAACAAGTTTTAATCTTTGTAGGCATCTTCTAGCCTGGGATTAGCACTCATAATTAACAATTTGTCTCTTAGAATCCACAGCTTTGTATCTAAACAAGTACTTGCAGATTAACAAGACACCGGGTTCAGGAAGCCTACATTAAGGCTATAACAAAAAGATCTGTCAGAAAGACCACCCTGTTGAATTCCACTGATAAGTATTTACTCTAACTTTGCTCATTACTCGCCATGTATGATCAACCTACAGTTAATCAATCAGCGTATCCAATATTGAACCAGCCCTCTATCTCTCTGCTAGGCGCCATGAGAACTTTTTCAGTTTTGATTTTAAATGTATTGCCCTCATGTTTTCTTAAAGAAAACACAGTGTCTCAGGCTATGTGTCCTTATTTGGGATTTTAAAAATGTAGTCACTGAAACCATGGAGAGATTGGAAAGAAAAACATAACATGAGCCCATAGGAAGCCTATGCTTTCTTGGATGCTGGTGACAAGCCATGTGTGGGGAAATAGAAAATTACACAGCTTCAGGAGAGATATAAGGAGAACTAAGTTAGTTCTCCTTTCTTTAAAATTCTTCCAATACTACCACCCATCCACCAGTTTAGGGTTTAAAGAGGAAAAAAGCAAATAAGAGGAAGGAAGACAAAGTTGTAGAGTAGAAGGTAGCATGTTGACGTGAAAAAAAAAAATTGGCCCATGTAGTCAGGCACATCTGGGTGTATCCTGGCTCCACAACCTATAAGCTCTGTGACCTTCAGCAAGTCACTTAAAACCTTTATAAACCTGCTTCATCTAACATGAGGACAATATCTATCTTGCAAAATTAATGTGAAAACCAAATGAAATAATGCATGCAAATCACCTAGCACAGTGTCTAGCTCATAGTAGGAAATATATATAGAGAGAGAAACATTTATATATGAATAAAAATGTGAGAAAGTAAAAAGGTTGAAAGCATCTTTAGAGTGCTTTTTATCCATCCATGAAGGAAGATTGGATTCTCCCCACTTCCCCAAGAACTTCTCCTCTACATTAGTTACACTCCCATCCCCTTAAGGAGTGGAGGCTTCTGCACAATTCAGTTAAATTATCGGGAACAGATAACACAGAACAGAAGAGGTTAAAGGGGAATCTGGGGCTATACATTTGAAAGTTGATTTTCTTTCACTGTGTTTTTTTTTGTGTGTGTGTGTCTTTGTTGTGTCAGTTTCAACTGAGCACACACTATGAATATTGCCTAACATATAATTGACACAGGAATTAGCTACTCCCCCCACCCTCAGTTATAAAGTGGTTGAGATTTTTTTAAATGTAAATTGCTCTGTACTAATTGATCTAATTTCCTCATTTAAAAAATTCCCTTTAAAGGTCAGAGAGTTATTAACTCTACTGATGTTATGAGGTTGGTACTCTTCCAGAGACAGAGAGGAGACAAGCTTCTTCTTCCTTCCTCCACTGCCTGAAGTCTTTACACTCAACATAATTGACCTTGGACATGTTATTCTGTGACCCATGGACATTTTTAGTGCCATTTCCAGTAATAACATGTCTTGTTCTTTCTGTTTGCCAAAGTGACTGGGGTTAAAATAGAACTTTCTCTCTGGATATGCAAATCAAATGTTGGTGTTCTGCTCATCAACCTGCCTTTTTTTGTTAATTGAAGATATAATTGAAAACCTATGATTATAATGACCTGATTCTAAATAAGGAGGCACAATCATTTCCATAAAACAAATCTTTGGTTTGTTTTTTTTTTTTCTCAGCACCAAAAGAGCGCCTCTTTGTTGATTTTGCATCCACACATAACGGGGCTGTTCTTGTCAGTGAGTTTTGATGGAATTTGGTATTTGTGAAATGGTTCACTGACATCCAGTTGAGGGCCCCACTGGACCCTGTGAGTGAAGCCCTTTTTTATGTGTAATTTTCCGAGCTTTTATCCTAGTTGGAATAAACTTTAAGTGTTTTCTTTCTAACCTTGGTTTAAACATCTGTGAAACTGTATCAAACATTGGATTTTTGAAAGATAGTTACTGGCATCTGTATAATATGTAGTATAATATGTGATGGTTACTGGTATCTGTATAGTATGTAGTATAATATGTGAACCAGTGATCCTATACCTATGATTCTCCTCCTTGACTGTGCTTTAGAATCACCTGTCGAGCTTTAAGAATAATGACTTCAGATTTCCACACCAAGGAGTAGACCAAATGCAAAGCTCTGTGGCAAGTCCTTTATAGAACCCTGTCTAGATTGAAAAATAATTCTTCATCAGCCCTTTTTGAGCATGGTTGTTTAACTGGTTATTCACACTATCATTCTGTCCACATTTCTTCATTTCATCTAAATAAGTGTCATGAGTAACTCTGTCAAAGCCTGTTGAAATCCTGATGCACTATATGACATTCTCTGATTTACCACTCCATTAACACTATCAAAAACAAATGACATTAGTTCAGCATATACCTCCATAGTATGCCATTTTCTTTTTCAATTTTGCTTCTCCTGAAAATGGAGTTCATCATTAAAATGTGCTAGCTGTTGAGTATATAGCACATATTGGTGATAATAAAACCATCAGTCTGACTACTCATGATTAGGAGTGTAGTACCTGTATGGCCAGGGAGAAGAAGGGAGGGCAGAAATATAAATTCAGATCTGTTGTCTACACTAGGAGACTTGCTATTTCTCCTTGCCTCACAATTAAAGCACTGGTTAGCTTGTTTGTCTAGAAAAGCTAGTAAAGAAGAAAAGAATCTCTAGCAACTAAAAAGCAGCAACTAAGGGTCAAAGTACTTCTAGCTCCCTCCAGCCACTGGAACCTGTGTTGTGGATTGGAATGTCTGGGTTTGATGGCCCGTGCTCATTTGGAATTAAAGTCAGACATAAACTTCCTGAGTTCCAGAGAAGCAAGCGTACTTTGCCACTCAGTCAATATTATTTTGAATGTATTTCAGGAAGAGCAGGGAGCATTCCCTTCTTTTTCTGTAAGCCACTATGGAACAGCAAGGTTTATTGATGGTTTGTTGACACTCCTCCTACTTTGAGGGCAAACTTATGCTTAAAAGTAGGGGCAAGTTGGGATAACTGCAACTAAAATAATTATAGAATAGTAAAATGGTTTCTTTTTAATAAAAAAAAAATATTGCCCGTCAAAAGATAGATAGTTCTTAAGAATCATTGATTATCAAGGATTTAGCATAGGAAAATGGGACCTAGCCATAAGAAAGTCTCATTTAGATTGTAACTCAGAAGCAGACAGCTCAGACTGGTGAG